ATTGGAATGTGAATTCGAAGTAAAGCTTGCGCTTACATTAGCGGAAATTCAATTTTCCGCATTAATGTTCCCAAAAATTGTGCCCTCCTTTGCCAGCGTGAGGAACACACTTCAGGCCTTTCGTGCCCATTTGGTTGGCACGAGTCATTCAGTTGGCTTTTGAGACACGTGAAAGCGTGTGACCCTAAGAACTCTTCACCCGTAAAGATGATAGACATTTTCGAGAGAAAATAAAATCCCAAGAAACTGCTCATTCGTCCCATCATTAATTTACCCCAGCAAGAGGAGACAGTCGTCGAGGTTGGCTACCCCAACCATAACATTGAACCCAATTCGAGAGCACCTCCGTGCCATGATTTTCCACGGTTTCAACGTGGCCTCAGATGAGAGCCAGAGAGTTGCCCACTCGCAGACTGCAGCCTTCCCTGCCTTCGCCTCCCAGAGACATGCCGAATCGAAGAGGGGCGAGGAAAAAGTCTCGAAGATGATCCTCGATCTGGCTGTCCACTAATATTGATAGCAGTGCTCCAGGGAAAGGTCGACCAAGTGCGTCTCACGATCATTGAACAACCCCGTTCCACTTATGCCATTATAGAAGCTAAACTGGGAATCAGATCAGGACTTTTCGCTGAGGTTTCCCATCAACATCTTGATGTGAGAAAAAATATCGATACGATAGTGGTCTCTCCATGGGTTCAAAGCAGTCAACCGTGACAATTTCCTCCCGCAGAAGACCAATGATTGATTCAATTAGAATAAATTTTGCGGTTTTATTTTCTCTCTCTCTCTCTCTCTCTCTTACTTCTCTAAAGTGGTGGCTTTTTTTGGGTCATTGACCTTCGAAGGTCTAGAAAAGTTTCTGAATGATCACGGAAATGCTTCCTGATAATAATGACGGATGCGTGCAATCCGTGACGAAATAATGAACTCCATGAGTCATGGATTTCTTCCTTGCAGGCGAACGATTCTATAATACATCACTCGATGTAATCTTGCCGAAGATGCCAAGGAGATTTGTGGCGATTTGATAGAAATTTACGGAGACAGTACGTTATAATGACACTGTCGTCCGATGGATTTCGGCGCAATGGGGAGGGATGAAAGTGCCTTGAAGTTGATTCTCTCAACGCCTGTCTTCTTTTCAGGATCGAGGATATCACCAGATGCTCTGCTGCCCTTTCGCAAGAGGACCCCTAGATCACTATTCATCAGCCTGAGAGTGAAAATTCGACATGAAGCGATTAATGAATAAGTGGACACGGAAATGGAAGAGATGGGTACTTTTGACCACCGGAGAGAAAGCAGGAAGGGTTCACATTCGCTGCTGCATGCAAGACTTCTTTCCACATGCTCCCAAGGATCTTCCGGATATGGTGAATTGAGTTGAGATCTGGGTCTGGTATTACACCATCCCTGATAAGTGCACTTACATCATTTAGCTGGCTTGTGTCAACGTCATCCTCGTCCACAGACGTTCCGTCGGTCATATGCACTGTAATGTTCCATTTCGATGGGCCTGACTAGGTTGATATGCTTTGCCTGAAGGATCAGCTCCTTGCAGGGATCAGGGAGCAACTACCACGCTTTACGAATCTCCAACTGCATCAACAGGGGGGGGGGGGGACGGCAGGTGGATGACAGGGGGATAGGAGATGGATTTAGAACCAGGTGAATGTCCCACCAAATGAGAATCAACTCGGGCATTTTCCTACGTATATATGGAATCAGGTGGATATCTCCCCTCTGGATAGATTTGGAACCAGGTGGACATACCTACAGCATGTGGATTTCCGCCTGGAGGGGGATCCACCTGGTTCCAAATCCACCTGCGGGGTTAGGCGTTTTGCAAGGGGCAGATAGGAGTATGAGAGAGTGCACTTCTCTCAGCGAAGGCATACAATGACTTAAGACTAATTGAGAGGTGCAGAAACCCTCTGTTCTCCTCCTATCGCATTTCCCAGATCAACTTTCAATTATTCTTGCCTTGCTAATGATTTCATCAACATCTTAAACTTCATTCTGTCATTATATGCGACTTTTATCTGTCACTTGCCATGCATAGGACAATGAAGCTTCTATACCAAGTCTCTGTTCATGATCCAGTTCCCGGTTTGGCGTGAATTTAAGAACCTTGTTTTTATTTTAAGAGGCCTCTTGCTTTTTCATTCTGTATTTTTGCTGCACTTTCTCTCTTTTCCTTTCTGACTACGCGCATAGATTTTGGACGGAGAGTATTTCACGCTATTACCGTCAATAAATGCGAACCCAAATAATGATGTTCCCCCATGCAGCAATTGGTAAACAGCAGCTCTCTCCGCGTTTCAATAAGGTTTTCGCTTAGCTATTTTAGCTGAAATTGAAATGAGATGCGACGACATGACACATGAGAGTTTGCTTCTCTCCTGAAGAGCTTCATCCCTACAATACACGAAAACACGTCGAGTCGACTTTGCCGTTGCAGCATACGCGCTTGTATCTCGAGGTCAGTTGGTTTCAACTTCTCGTGTTAATTTGGAAGCGTCTCAAGCTTAGTCGACTCGGGGCGTTTCCATGGCCTCGCCCAAGCGCCTTGCACCAAGCGCCCAACCCCTTACTTCGCAGCAACCCATGTTCAGTCGCTTTAGTATAAGTCGATTCTCGATACAGCGCTTCAACGCGTTTCCAGGGAGGCTTCATGTCGACTTGAGAAATTCCAAGGGAAATGCGATGTCTGAAAGAACGGCTCGCTCGAAGGGAATTTCCCCGGGACCACGACCTGCGCGAGTCGGCAATGTAACTTCATTTTACTCTTCTCAGATATGAGAGGAGGCACTTCCAAAGCAGCGAGCATCCAGAAAGGCACACACGAAGAACGCTATCAACCAGCTACTTATGCCAATGGAACCTCGTCCACGGATAGAGCTTTTCATTCTCACTTGAACTTTTCTTGTTGCTTTTGATTGAATTCATCCTCTTTGTTTCAGAGAATTTTTGAGCAGCAAACTCTACACACAAATACAGGCTTTATTTGGCTTTCAAACTGAATTCCCGTTTGTCCGGTTGCAGTAATGGGCCAACCCCTTTACCACATCACTCAACTCCAGACAGTTCCCAAGAATTTTTGGAACATGTATTCATCCGTAGATCTTAAAGGGTGAAACTATACATCTTGCTGGAGCTTGAACGACACAGGGGGGGGGGGGAATGTTGCAAGAATCCCGATCTGATTTTAACCTCCCTGAATATTTTCTGGGAAAGATGTTGAATTCTAACCAGACGAAATTCAAATGTGGTTCGAATCTCCCGCATCAAGATGCAGCTTTGCATGGAGACTAAAGGAGAGTGCTTCGGAGGCATTTCAACAGATCGAGGCTGGGATTAAGGTTGACTAGAATGGATAATAGGAATAAGAGGATACGAAACGTCCACTGAACTTTTTTGACGCTCCCCATATAAGCATAATTTAGTCGAATGTACCAGTCATTTCGGTCTGATGCATAGCTGCAATCATGCACAACTGAAAACGTTGAACCGGTCTTACGCACTTGAGGCGAAGACAATCGTCGGCCTAAAGCGGCCTAAGCATTTCCGATGCATTTTTGAGAGCAAGCCGGTTGCAAGGGCTGCTGATGCAGCTCGTGACTTTGCAGCACATGTCCTTGAAGTTAAAACAAAGGGAAAATGGTTTTCTGCAATCTCGGGTCGCTTGAGGACATACGGTATAAACAATGGAGGGCTATACCGGCACGCATCGTTCTTATCATCATATTCATTTACGCTTTCACGGCTAGTTTCGGTATTTTTATTCCCTTTCTTTCAAGATGAGATCTATAAATTCAGCATTGGCGTACACTCCCATGTTAACAGTATTCTTATCGTAGAAGATTCAAATTTGATCTCTTCATGCCCTTCGAGTTCTTTCACTACGAGACTCCCGAGTAGAATATCGGCATTAGTTTATCTCAGTCAGTGGTCTCAACACTCCCATAATGGCACTTTTAAGGATTCATCTTCGGCGACCTACTGGTAGAAGGGTGGAGCATGGATGACATCATCTCGCGCTTAGAAGTCACGAGCATGACGACCAGGGCAGTGGGATTACAAGGCAATAACTCCAGTCGAGCGCTTGCAACTCCATCGAGCCGACTAATGACGTCAACTGCGTTTTTCTCTGAGCAATTTGACGTACAAGTACAGGCAGTGGCGGATGCAAGGGGGGGAGGGAGGCGACCGCCCCCCCTATGGCCAGGTTAGCATTCTACAGGTATTTTATTTTATTTTTTTAAAAATAGCTTCTACATTAATTTTTAGTGGGACCAGTGCAATAGATATCCAAATTTTTTGCCCCAGACGAAAATGAAAAAGGCGATAGAGTGGGGGGTGGTGGAAGGCTCATCCACCAGAAAGAGAGTAGTACGGAAGGGAACAAAATAGCTTATCTTATGCAGTTGCAGACTTTCACTGCGAATGAGTAATAATTCAGCTACCAATACACCTTTTCCTATATGTACAGATAAAAGGAATTTCTCCCAAACAGGTTTCTTGCCTTTCACCTATTCAGCAAATCAATAGGTCCTACAATAATTTTTCCGCCCTTGAGTACAGGCCTACTTACTTCACAATTTCAATAGATAGTAGGCACAACAAGTACAGAAAAACCTTACGCAAATGCCAAAATAGTGTCAATCTCCAGTATGGATGGATCTGAACGATGATTAAAGGTGCCAAAGAAGGCACCGATAAAGGGAACAAAAACCAGTGTCGAAGTTGGATTCATCTGCTGTCGTGCATAGCCATCTGCTCTATTTACCCACTTCGTTGATGAAATAAAGTCTTCACGTCCCAGAGCAGCTCTGCTACGGTGGACATGGCCTACTTTCGGCAGTCTTTCTCCTCCCTGGCACCTGATGAGAGAGAGAGAGAGAGAGAGCGAGCGCTCGCATCGCTTGCGGACGAAAGTGGAAGCTTGAAGAAAGCAGTATAGACCCGCCCTAGAGGGGGAAAGAATAATCCCTCCCTCTCGCCTCTCTTCAGTACTTACTAGGACTCACACCGGTCCAGTCCAGTCCAGGTGCTCCAAAATGGAAAAGCAGTACGACTCCGTTACCACGTTGAACGTGAAGGAACTCATGGATTCCGATGGCAAGAGCACCAGCGCCTATTCCATCGATCAACCCTCAAGCCCGCCACCTGTAAGAAAATCTTATCTCTCTCACATTTTCTTGCTCCACTTCTATAGAGCCTGGCGTGTGTGCGTGTGTCTAGCTGATGCCGTACTTGCTTTTCGGCATGGTCTCGAAATCTGTACATATAGGAAAAGGTGTATTGGTAGCTGAATTATTAATCATTCGCAGTGAAAGTCTGCAACTGCATAAGATAAGCTATTTTGTTCCCTTCCGTACTACTCTCTTTCTGGTGGATGAGCCTTGACTTTTTATTTGTTCTCAATATTCCAACATTTCCGGTGACAACGGTGAAAGTTCCGGAAAGTAGGAGTCTTTTCGCTAGATCTCGGCGAATGCTTGTCATGCAGCTCAATTTCCGAACACTATCCCTACCACAGGCATTCCAGTTTCCCTTGGAAAGAGGACACAATTGATCCAGCATATAATTGGATGATGAAAGATAATATTCGCAGTGATGACGCACTATGAGGAAGTACGGGGAAATTACTGCCAAAACACCTCGTAATAAAAAAAAATAGCTCTTAATGTTGGTCAAGTCCTTTCTCTCCGAACAGGCATTTATGTTTCCTTCGATGGTTGGTTCTATCACGAGTTGATCGCACGAAGTCTCGAGTTTCGAGTACGGAAGGAGAGTATCTGCTTTCATACAGGCACTCCATGGAATGTAGTAAGCGAGAGAAGTTTCCGTGTATAGGCTACCTTCCGCATTCGTGTTCCTTTCATCAATGCTTTCGAATGAGCGAAAATCTCCTCGAGCAGAAGAGAAAGCGATGGAAAGAATATTCGTTTCTCGTGTGCCTCTCACGTGTGACTTGTCATTCAACCTTGCCCGCATCCCTTCCTTCCTCGAGGACGGGGAAGTTCGGTGTCCCCTGGAACCGAGGAGCACGATGTAATGTCATGTGTGACGAAGAACCGCAATCGTTTGTGGGAAATTGTGAATTGGCTGTTCCTTTCAGATTGTGAATGGCAAAGTCCGAGTATTTCCTGATCCCGCCTGACAGAGATGATGAAAATTCGAAAGTTCTTCAAGGAAAACGTCTCAGACATTGCCTTACACATCCTTCTAAGGGAATCTAAGATAAAGGTATCACGAGTTATCGATGGAAAACGCTGATTATGCAGAAGCGGGAATTTCAGAATTCACACGTTCCCTTTTTTTTTCTGCGGAAGGAACGACTTTTACATGCCGAAGTGAAGGGAGTAGGGAGGGGGGGGATACCATTCGATTGGTGAAAGGGAAAAGGGACGTGATGGAGAGGAACACGAACTCTTTTCACGGGGCCTTAGGAGTTGCATGCATGAGGGGGAAGCAACAGTCATACAGCGTAGTGGAAAGCAGTCGTGCAGAATAGAGCCCTAGAAGAGGGAAGAAACCCTCAAGGATGACATGAACTCGGTTTGGCAATACTTGCAACATCCTTTGGTCGGCCGGTTCCCCTCAATCGGAAATCCTAAGATTTATCCCCCTCCAAAGCCTTTTATTTGTTCATCCGGAATATTTTATCGTTTACCTTTTGTTTGCGTAACATGATCGTGATGGCATGCGATTGCAAAAATGAAGCCGGATGACGAGACCATGTTGACCAGTTCCTCCCCCCCCCCCAGGAAATGGGCAGAGAGGTCGATCACCACCGCCAACGGTGTCGTAATAAGTCATCATTGTGAAACTCCTGCTCCCAGGATTATGAGAAAGAGGTCGAGGAGTTTCCCTCACTATCTATCATTGCGTTCTTCTCCATCTACGTGCCGTGTATGACCTCCATCCCTCAATAATAAAAAAAACTCGTAGTAGAGACCGGTTCGGTAAAACTCTTCCGAACATGAGTGTTAATTGCCATCAAGCTAAGTGCCACATGTGAGGGGGACATTGTATTAGTCACCGGACAGAACAGTGAAACACAGCTATGGAACTGTTCTTAATTTACATATCCTATTGTTGATGGTTCGGCCATCAGTAGAAGTACAAAAGGCAAAGAGTTGATTAGCACTCCCATTCACGGGATTGCAAAATCCCGAAGGTGCAAGCGTTTTTCACATCCTTCGATTTCCCTTGACACGTGGGAGGCAGTTGCTAGAATTGGACTATAAAGTCCAGGCCGACGTGCTTAAAAAAATGGCCGGGGGAAGGGGAGGGGAGGATTGGGGAAGGGAAAGTATTTGTCGCCACCTGGTACGTGAACATGGCTCAGCTTGCGCCGTCTCATCCGACTTGGCCTTTCCAGCAGAGTAGCAATGTCTGGAATTGTTGAAGGGACAATGGGCTTCCGACAAAGGGAAGAAGACTAGGGAGAGGGGGAGGAGTAGGAATGGGGCGTCACGAACGCATGACAACATTTGGCTTTCACTATGGCAAACCGAGTCAACGGACCGCACGGTACATTGAACCTTCTCGCGTCTATTCCGAATAGAATTTAGAAAGTACTTCCGGGAGCGAAAAGGATGAGCCCGTTTAGGCCCCAACCCCATTCTGGGCTTTCGCGAACCGATGACGAAACGGGGGAACGGGGTTCCTCTCGGGGCGAGTCCAAGCTTTGTATGTTGTGATCGACTTTCAGAGGAGGGGATTGAAAAAAATCACTTCATGAATCCAGGCAGAAAGAACTCTTCCTTTCTTGTTAAGGCCGGTCACCCGGGCGTGTTAAATGATGAGCAGGCAGAACGGCCAGGAAGCGGAAAGATATGGGTCAGGATACTGGCGATGCATAGAGAAGCAAGTCGGGGGAGTCTGGGTCCCAGGGGAAAGTTTCTCCTTTTCCGACCTCCCCCGTTTCCAGGTTAGATGAGGTTGTGCAACCGGGTCAGGTCGAAGACCGAAGGTCTCGCAAGAGCAGTCTGCAACTCCAATTGCATCAGAAGACCATGGTTGTCTCTATGCTGTTCCGAGGGTTCGAACAAGTTTCCATGCATACGGTTGATGGACTCAGAAAAACCGACATTCGCAATTTAAAAATTGACTTTTACCTTTGGCTATTTTCACACGAAACTGGTCTCTGTGGTAAGGAGACAAAGCAGACTTCTTACCTCTACAACTGGAATTCGAAAGTATAATCCTTTATCGCGAAGATTTGTTAAACAGATTTCACGAAATTCCTTAATCTCTCCAAGAATTTATTAGAGAGCCGGGCAAAAGTCCACATATCAGGTAGTGGAAGGGAAATCCTCTATCGAGCTTGGCCCACATTCTCTCTCTTTCTCTCGTCTGAATGGAAAGGGGTATGTAAGAGCAACCTCGTTTGCTTCAAGGTTTTCTATTGGAATGGTCTAACTGCTCTGCGCATCTGCTAGCTTGAAGAGTCTCCCGATCCGAGATTCAGGACGCATCACATTCCACTTCGGAATCTCTGTCTCGGTTTCAATGCAGCTTTTGTTCTCGTGGCACATGACCAAAGAGTCTACCCTGCCAACCTAGAAACGACGGGATTTCTTCTATCGAGACGTGAAATGGTTTCCTGGATAGCGGATAGGAATGTCAAAGCAGGCCGAGTCCTGGTCAGACACGGCCCGAAGCCAAATGGGAGGTCGTGAAACGTGAAGGGTATACGCCTCAATGGAGTCTCTCCTGCTCCGGCTCCCGCTCCTCATTTCGTGACTCTCGTAGAAAGGGAGAGAGGGGGGGGAAGGGTGAAAAACCACTCGCCATAGAGACCGAAAAAAAAAACAACCTAGAACCGTTATTATAGCGTGATTGTCATGCTCGGGCACAGGTCTTCGCTACCTACATCCAAACGACTGATTTGCCTCGTATCAAATATCGTAGAGGTGTGGTACCTGTCGGTTCTCCTACGCAACGCCCTGAAATAGTTTCATGGGAACGGTTGTCCTGCTTCCATGCCCTCATGTTGAAAGGCAAGGAAACGCATAGCGCAGTCTTCCTCTCTCATTCCCTACGTCATCGTTGAGGAAGTCCTTGCAGCGACATCTTCTACTTCTCACTATGTTGCTCAATTAGATCCTTCGGGAAGTGGTGCTACCTCGAAGTGAAAAGTGTTTCTCACGTTATGCTTGTAAACTTAGCCCAATCGAGTGTAATAGCTGTGAGGAAATCGATTAAATTCATTATGCTGCTTATAAGGGGAAAACGAGCTGCTGGATGTGGCGAGGCCTTGAATTGCATTATTTATCAGTCACAAAGATTGCACATCCCGTTCTGTCCTGCATTTGCTGGTGAAGACCCGGATAATTAGGTATCGGAAGACTGCATGTTCGCTCAAGTTTCGAGTCGCACCAAACCAAGCAGTCATCGTATAGAATTTTAGTTGGGCGTGATCAGGGAAGCGTTTAGGATTTCTGACCTCCATTCAGTCACACGGAGATGTAACTCCTACTCCCTTCCCCCTTCCATCTCCATCCCCATGAGAATGATTGATGATTAGCAAATATATTGGTTCTCTACCAACCCATGTAGTCCAGCAGATTTCCCCCCATCCTGTTTCCCATTCTGAATAGATGGGAGGGGGAAGGGTCACTTGAGGACTAGGGAAGGGTGTGTGGTGTAGATATTCGCCTATCTAGGAAGGCACAAATTCTCCTGTATTCCAGGTAGTTATTAGTTTTTAACCCCATCTTAGGTGAGTCTGGAGCTGACAATATTTTTTTCCCATTAGGCGTACACAGGAGACAGATGGTTCAAGAAGAGGAACTCTGGACCCTGGATGATCTGCACAGCAATAGTAGCAGCGGCTGTGATACTGGGAGGATTCTTGTTGGCTGCCGTTTATATCACGCAGCTTCCCCGTCAGACATGTGACTGCAGCTCCGTTGGCTCGACTTCCCTTCCCCTTCAACAGGAGAGATCTTCCGGACCGTTCCTCGTGAGTTTCGTCATCATCATCATCGTCCCATGACGAGGCAGACGGGCCTTCCAAGGCGGTATTTCCCACTCTCATACCCGGACGAAGAATATTCCAAAGATAATATGTGCCCGTCACTTGACTCCAGGCGAGAATTTTCGCTTGGTCAGCTTTATATTTCGTTTCAGAACGAAAGCCCCAGCTCTTAACAGTCTGTTTTGGAAAGAGCGTTTACGCCACTGACTTTAGAACAGGCATTTCCATACCAGACCTCGCTTGGCTGTTGACAACTGGTTTGGTAGGTGTGGCAATGCTTCGTGATAACGGAGAGGACGAACTCAATGCATCGACGAATACATACGAGAATGGCTTTTCCCATATTTTACACGGGACCTAGTTCAACTGGACCAACAGCAAGATTCAGGACAAATCAATTCAGTCCGCACCGTTCAAGATTCTCATGATCAGTAAAAGCGTAACAGAAAAATTGTAGCCTCTAGCGCTCTCCCTATCACATGGCTGAATCTCAAGCGAAGTTCCACTTTGCACTCGGGACACAAGGGAAAGGGAGCAACGAGTGAATGGTAGGCATTTGATTTGACAAAACGAGACGATGGGATCTAAGAAGGTCAGATTGTTCTGGGTGTGGCCTTCATACGTTGAAAGAATGTGGAAGCTATGAAGTGACACATATAGAACTACCCGTCAAGTGTCTCCCAGACAGGAATTGACTTTCCTACCTCAAAGGAAGAAAACGCTGAAAGAGAAAATATGGCTTACAGCAATGACACGTGGACTTCACTTGTCCAACAGTGGAGTCATGAACATTATCTATATATAAAATATTTATCTCCGACCAAACCAATGGCCTTTTTGTGGCTCATTTGTGAATGGTGTTTTGCAGGCGGAAACAGCATCCCTTGTGGCCGAACCCCGAGAAGTGGAGGCGAAGGCCAGCGAGAAGAAGGAACAAAAAATGCGAGAAATAGAGGAGGAGGATGACGATGAGAAGGAGAAGAAGAGGAAGAGGAAGACAAGTGGAGGAAGGGGAAAAGGGAAAGGGAGGACACAGACAGGACGGGAAGTGAAGAAGGCTCGGATCCGCACCAGCTCCGACGACGATGCCCTTCTTCCCCTGACCCTCGACCTGGATTTCATGGCTCAGGTTAGTAGTCATTTTTCCACATCTTGGCTTCCAGAGATGGATGATCTTGGCACGCTTGTCTCTCCATGCGTGGGAGAGATAGCTTCACGCCTTCTTTCACCTCATTTCCTCTAGCCGCCGTCTCACGATATATTTCTCTACCTGCCTTAAAAGTAACGACACGACACATGCAGAAGCAGGTTCGCTCCAGCTCTGCATACAGGTTCCCCATACATTGTGAAACCTTCTGGCTGTGCCCTCACTTTCTCTTTCTTTTTTTCCTCTCATTTTTCATTTTTCTTCTTTTGCACGTTTCTCTCGCCATATACCACAAATGATAAAGCTCATCCAAAGAAAAATGCAATGAACCACAAGCAAAGGGTGATTGCGAAATGCAGTAAACCTGGAGGGGTAGGGTGACACCGTCTTCACTTATTGGGGCTTCCACATTCCGCTCCCGGTTTTGATATGCCTGAAGCGAAGTTGTTCCAAGTTTCCCACGCACATTCAACCGATCGTTGCGCGGAAACGGGAGTGAAAGGATCCCGGATGGTGAGCATTGGGAAATGACCGACAATGAAACCAATCGAGCGTGAAAGAAGTCCTTCTACCCGCTACCACATACAGTAGTACTCGTGCGGTCCAGCGATTCCACCGAAATAGCATCCGATAGACGGAAAATACTGGAGAACGAGTCTCTTTCATTATATGGTGATACCTTTCCCCGGGAGAAAGTGCGAAAGTCGCGTCCTACGACCATTCGTTCTCATTAGCGGATTCTAAATCGTTTTGAAATTAGTCGCATCTTCCCATACATAACTTCTTTTTCTTTTCTCTCTCTCTCTCTCTCTCTCTACAGGAATTGTTGTCGAAGGGTGCTAAAGCTCGACTGGACTGCGTGATCGAGAGAAAGCGATCGGAGGAATTCGTGGACCACAACGGGCGTAGTCTGAGCATTCCGTTGCCGTTTGTGGGCGGAGCGGCGGCGAACATCACGTCGGATCCCCGATACGTGAGAACGACAGGCGAGAAGATGGCTGTAAATTGCCGTGGAGGAAAAGGGAGGGGAGCCGACGAGGAAGAAGTGATCTTCCTGAAGAGCCCTCCACTTCCATCCCCAATTCCGTTCCCGTTCCCTCACCCCCATCACCACCATCACCACCACCCTGGACCCATGCTGCCTCAGCTGCAGGAGCTTCTAAACCTAGCCACAGCCGAGTCTGCCCCCATTCCCATTCCTTTGATCATTCCATCTTCGTCGGGACCGCGAGCATTCCCATTGCCCTTCTCCAAGCCTCCCAGTTTCCTCACCCCACCCAGGCCGGCTGATTCTCACTGTAAGATTCTACATGAAAGCTAAAAAAATCGCTCTTCCTCTCGTTCGAATGCATAATTTTTCATTGTTTCTTGTTTTCTAGTCATCCGACCACGTTCAACGGATTCTCAGGTCCATTCTCGGAACAAGCGGTGTGCTTGCAGTTGCAAGTAAGAGAGTTCCTTGGTAGCCGAGGAGCCAAAGTGAAGAAGAGTTCGCTTTTCATAGTCTTTCATCGTGTACCGTTTTCGAGAGGGATGTTCATTTTCTCCCTTCCCCTTTCAAAACGTTCCCATGGTAATGCAGCCAAAGCAAGAAAGCGAGGCTTCTCTCTGCGAGGTGAATCACCCAGTGATAAGCACTGCTTTCACTCTCTTTTATCTGTTTTGAAGATGCCGTTACGTGCTTGAATAAAGTTTCCACCAAGAATATACCTTTCGACAAAGACGAGCGGCTAAGGCTCATGCGCTTTCGTTTCTGCGTTGAGGATGCTATAATAAAGTTGTGATCTGATAATCCTGGACAGAGCTCCCTTTCTGAATTGCTTCTCGTGTAAATGTCAATGAATTCACCAAGGAAAGACAAAGCTCTAGTTGTCAGTCGCTGACTTATGATCTTTCGGTTTCCAAGAAAACCGGAACCTTGTTCTGCAGCATGTGACCACTCGTGAGTTCCAGATCCATTTCAAAGGTTCTGAGGTGCGCCACTGGCGGACTCTTCCCTTCGTTGGGGATTGGCTTCGTCAGCATCAACGAGACCGTTACAAAACCTAATGGACCCAGTCACCAGAGGTTGAAAGTTGAAGCTTAAAGATGAAACTACTGATGTTACATAGTTCATAAAGAAATGAAGCGTTTCTCTGCTGCCGACGGGACGGGAACCTCTACTAGGCGTTTCTCTCTTTGAGAGGAACGCCTGCCCTTGAGAACTTATCAAGTTGTTTGGAATGTGCCTCCATGCCTTCTACGTTTTGACAATATGCCTGAAAACAGACTTCTTAATAATAAAAAGCCGAGAAATTTAAGCCCGAAAACCATTCTGGGCGTTTTCCTTGGGATGCAGCCGAGACTTTGTCAATTATCCTAAGGGTAGCAGGGGCTCGGTAAAGACGAGGTTACTGGATTATAATTTTTTTTTAAGAGAATGAAATACAGCGTTTGGATACTTGAAGTGTGCGTTAGGTTTTCCACTTCCTTAGATATACCGTGGGAAGGTGGGGCTTTATCACTAAAGTACAGTCAACCCTCGACATACCGCCACTACCATACGTGATACCTGCTAAAGCGCCACCCTCGCCAGCCGCCATCTGCCAACACCTTCACTTGTACAAACGGTTTTTCCTACATAAATCCTCCTCGATCTTGCACCAAGTAGCATACCTGCCTCAATCCTTACTCAGTACTAAACACAGTAAAATATTTATTGCCGGCTGGTGGGGTAATTAAAAGTAATTACGAAATGTAGGCTTTCTCCCTAACTGGAAAGATCACCAGAATTCCTTTACATTTTTGGGCTTACATGTCTTATTTTCTTGCATCGTTTAAATACTATCTGCTGTGGTTTAATTTTTTTTTGCATGTTTCACCAGTTAAAGCAAAAACCAAAAATGACGAAAATGACATTTTAATAGTTTTATGCGAAACATTTCGTTAGTGCCTTTAGGAAAAGGCAAATGAAATTCGAATGCTTTTCTCCAAGGTTTTCATAATTTGTGCAGTGAAGAGCTTATACTGCACTGACGAAGTACAGTCAGAGGCAAGACAAGTAAATGAGAAGATGTTTGTATCATTTGACAGCCTTTATTATATGGACAGAGAAGGGAGAGAAGGGAAGCATATTGGCACACCCTCTCAAAACAGGCCTCTTTAGCCTACACCCTTCATCAGGAGTCATCAAACCTGACAGACAGTAGATCGAGTCCAAGCAAAAAGCAGATAAAGAAAACAAGTCATAGAGGTAAGAATGAACCCCAGAAATCAAGTATGGAATCACAGTCTGTCCAACTACTCCAAAATCCCCAAAATGATATAGGCCTAATGAAAAAGTCCTAATAGTTAACACCCACCACCCATCTGAAAGGCAGCTGGAGGGATTCTTCCCTTAAGTGTGGAGTACAGAGTAAATGAAAAGGAGAAAACGAAAGAGGCATGCAATAATGTGGATTGGTAACATTGACATGATAGGTGCCATGGTGTTGGAAGTCCTTCATACCATGGCAGCAATAATGCAAATACACATAAATCAAGGAATAGAGCACTGAGAAGGAAAGAGAAGATATGAAAATCAGCCCAAGCAATTAAATGAGAAAAAAAAAGTAAGAAAAAAAAAGGAATTATGATGCAATTGTTAGGAGCTCAATTGGTAGGAGAGTTTCAGTTTCAATATCATTCTCTGAAGGAGTGGTTGTAGTTTCGATGGACAGGATCCGCAGAGTAGCAGAAGGAGATGGAAGTTTCAAGCAAGCTGCAAGATCTTCATCCACAGAAGATGCTTCCACATCTTCATGGAAGCAGACTGCCAGTAAGTCAGCCAAGTAGGACCTGAGTAACATCATCATGATGGTCAAGACTCTTGGTATAACCAACTGCATAGAAATAGGTGAAGCTAACCATGTGAACTCAGATGCCACATAATGGAACTCGGGTCGTGGGAAGCCATTGAATGTTGATGCAGCAGAGCAGGTATATGCCCCCATGTTTGGCCAATACAGCCAATCCCCTACATCCATTGATGGCATGAGCACACGCTTGAGGATACAATCCAAAGAATCACATGTTGGACCCCAGATTGAACTTGGCATGCACCAGTCCTTCTCCTGGTATTCCTAAAAAGGAGAATTGATGTGTTTTTTTAACATTGATAAAGTATTAATACATACAAGAATGAAAAACTTCTTGAGGATCTCATTGTGGCAAGATAATACTTTTATACTGATTGTCCCAAAAAGGCTGCTTCTCTGGCTCTTCTCCAAAACTACATGATTTCACATATTCCCAGAGCCAGTTGATTCTGAATTTTCTGCTGCTGACTATCTTAGTGCCCAAGGAAAACCACAATCAAAATGGGGTTATTGTTACTAAAGAAATTGCTGGAAATCATTCAACTACTGCAAAATATCATCTGGAGTTACAATGATGTTCTTACTCTGATTACCGGCAGGCATTGGTGTTTTTCCTAATACTAAAGGGTATGAGGGAAGGGGACAACAACTTGAGTTCTTTCTAGCCTATCGATGTCAAAATGAGGTCCAAGTAAGAATTGCATCTCGGTGATGACATTTGATGGCATGATCCCACACAATATTTGCACTGCAAAGTAGGATTTCTGATAATTTTGACAAAATTCATTACCAGCATTAGTTAAACACATAAAAAAAAGATTATCATGATATACAGAGAGGAAGGAGGGGTTCATTTGCCAGAGGCACCACAACCAAGATTGCAGTCCCTCAGGCAGGGATGCTCTTCTATGGTTACTCAGGAGGCCTTAAAAAGCCAGCTAACAGGTTGCTTAGGCATGGATCTAAGCAACCTGGTAGCTGGCTTCATAAGGTGTGACTGGTATAAGTGATGTATATAAGGTGTACTGCACAGAATCTCCAAGACATAAAACACAAATTAACCTTTGTGTTAGCCCAACATTAAGCAGATACTCCTCATGAAAGCAGGTGGGACAACTGTTGGAAGAGGTGGAGCTCACTGCAACCTGGATTCAATCCCTTGCTTCATAGGCTTTACTCATAAAAGTCCCCTTTTTGGAAATGAAATATTTTCCATTCAATCATACCATATTATCAAGCATTCTGCATTATGCCAGTATAAAATGAGGTTAAGTGCTTGTGAGACAATATTATGCATCTTATTCCAGTAAGCCATTTGTTTTTGACAAAATATAATATTGCAGATGCATAATATTGTACATTGTTTTCTACATAATACTGCCCATTTGTTGGGCAGTTGGTTATGGTAAATTTTGTACACCAATGCAGAGAGAAAGACAAGGCAATTAAAAATTAAATCACAGAGTGCACATGGCTACCAGAATTGAAATACTTAAAGGGTTTATCATAACCAAACTATTGGTTTAACATGGCACGTGCAGTTATGCAGGAGAGAATACATGCTTGCAGACTGGAAAGCTTCCCCAATAGTACAGATTTACAGGGAGAAGAATAAATATAAAGAACCAGTTGCTTCAGCAGAATACTGACAAGTTAGTTTTCCTCCCTTAAAATTATATGAAACTCCTGGCCTAATTTAAAAATGTAATTGTTAACAACTCATCTCTCCTCTCCCCCTCACTATTTACCACATACAGGGCGATTTTTTTTTTCATTGGACCATTATAGATATTAATACTTTATGAACAAATGAAGTTAAATACATGGAAATTTACATTGAGAATCCATAAACATGGGAAAATTATACTCCATGAAAAAACATGTTCAATCTGTCATCTGTGCACAATCACATGTAGGCACGTAGTGTACTTCTGCACTACAGCTTGCAGATTATACCATGAAATGGAGTAGACTTCACCTTCCGTGGCCACCTTCAGGTCTCCCAACCTGCATGGATTCAACTCGATGACTTTGGCCTTTAGGTATCCCCAGGGGAAATAGCCTCATGGAATGAGTTACAATATTTCTTATGGGGGGCATGACATTCCTCTTTACTGGAATAGTACATCAAAGCTCATCAATAGGCACTACCACACCTATTACCTTTCTTCAACCCCTTTCGGCAACAAAATTCAACCTCCTCATATTCCTCTCTTAGAGCATCAACAGAAAATAAATTTGGCATGATTCTTCCTCTCTCAACACAGGAGCCAGCAAATTTGAAGCTCCATTTCCCCAGGGTTGTGGATAACACTGAATCTCACTTTTTGAAGATGTGGATTTCATTCCTGTATTTTCTTTTCTCCCCCCTTTGGGTAGCCACTCCTTGGGAGTTTTTGGAGGAAAGAGACCAACTAAACAAAAGATATTGACTTGTAGGTGGCAAAAGTGTCCTTTTTGTTGCTTGCAGTGCATCATTTATTGCAATAAAAAATTAAATTAGCTGTTGTACACTTAGGCTTAGCGTGATGGCTCCAGTCCCGTCCTGTGTTGCTGGATATCGTGCCAGAGTTATGTCAGACTCATGACATTTTGGCTTAGAGTCAGTGTCTGGATCTTCTGTTCTTTAATGTATGAGACAATCTTGTGCAGAGTTCATGAGATGAGCTGAGATGGAAACAATGGTCAACAGTGGCCGATCGATTTGGCAGGATATGGAGATACCTTATCTGAACACCCCTGAAATAACAGGATGGTGTACACCATGTATTTCATGCTTCCTGGAGACATTCTCTCCTCAGAACTAGTCGAGACAGTTCAAGGAATCTTAGACAAGCCTAATGTTCCTTGTCTGCATTGAAATGGTTCATGAAACTCGAAACAGACCTCTAATCCATCTAACATTACATGTCCTCCCTTAAAAGGGTCATGAAAGATTGAATAGGTGTGCAATTGGTCTAACATACAAGTCCTCGATGAGATGTCTTGAAGACCAGGGAGTAATTCTTATAGGCCTAATTGGCCCAGTAAGTCAAGGATTGAGTTTCTTTATAATGAAAAATGGTAGGCTTAGGCCTGACCCAAAAACATTGTTGGTTAAGCCTAGACCTAACAGTGTTTTGCAGGAGAGGTGGGGGGGTGTTGAGGTTGAGGTTGGGGTTGGGATTAAAGGGAAAGTCTTTGAAAAATAGTTTTCACATTACTTCATTAACCCTTTGACTAGTGGTCCATATATATACGGGCTGACATCCTCCTGCCCTCCATGTATTCACTAAGGGTGATCAAGGTGTTAAAAAACCCACTTCTCAAAGGGTTAAGCTATTCTTCACATGACCACTGAAAAATGTAAGGATGGCTCATAATACTGTAGTACCTAATGTCAACAAGTGGTGCATGGCAATCCCCTGAATGAATGACAATCACACAAACTGCATGACATCCAGCAACCTTACTTAACATGGTGGTTTTCATGTCTTGCTGAGAGATGTCAAAAGCTGGTTAAACCTAACCTCATACATACTGGCATCAGGCAAAATTCAGGGCAACACAATAACATTACTATAACTTGCTCTAATATTGTTTACCTTCAATGATTTCATCTGAACTGCAGCATGATCGTATAGCAGACAATTGAAACTCCCATAAACTCCATCATTAGTATAGTACATTGTCCCCTGACTGGTATCATTCAGCACCTGAAAAATGAAATTCACTCCAATTAAAAATTTACTTAAAGCCTTCAAAAAATGCATACTTGTCCACCTTCTCCATTGATATTACCTCGCGTTTTGCAATGACGCAAGTAGCAAGTGTGAATGCAGATGAGACATAGTAGCGCCCAGGCTCTGCAATAATTCTTACTCCACACCCCCGTGGGAAGTGTTCATCAAGTGCATCATTGATGGAATCAGCCAACTGCATGGAGAAAAGCTCAGTATCAAGACATGGGATGGCTGAAATACCACTTATACTTGATTTTGGTACAGTTTATGGCATCAATGGGTTTGAAGCCCAACTTTTGAACAGTTTGGTGTAACATATGGAGCAGTGAAGTCCCCAGAATAATGACTGGACAGGAAGTTCTGTTAGTATAAATTAAATTTGCCAACTACTGCTATTGGTCCAGAGAATTGAAAAAATAGCAATATGCCGGGATAACATGTTCAATGTGGCCACTATTCACTATGTGAATGGCCGTCATTCACGTGGAAAACTGGACACATCCCTGAGAAGTTGATCACAATGGACATGCATACTTTCATGTTAGAGAATCACAAGCTTCAGTTTTGCCTTAGCATTTAAATTTCCCTGTCTTCCCTTCCCTGCAATGCAGGAATGAAATACGATGGTGCAAAAACGTGACAGCTGCAGTGAAAAAGTTAAGGAGTTTGGTTGGATGATGATACATATCTGGTATCATAAAAACTTACTCCTCCCATCAGTGGTCAGTAAAATTGATATTTGGCAATTGTGGGAAGCATGGGGGGGAGGGAGTGGGGTAAACGTAAGATGGTGTCCCCAAAATGCAAGTGAAGAACAGTTTTTGCTTTACAATGAGAATGGGAGGAGCTAAATCTTGTTGGAAGAGCATTTGGTACACACACTGCTTGGTTCAGAGTTTGCAAGACAGTGAAGTCTCCTGCAAAGCCTACCAGTTACTTTAGCATCATCAATTGAGTTTGGATCATGACATGAAAATTATTTATGCATAAAGTAGTTGTACAATTTCACACTGTCATGAAGACATTAATGGACTTCATTGGTCCACATGATTTGATGAGACCAAGTTGTGTTCTTGCCCATTTATGTAAAACAGTGCATTTCAAATGTTAGAAAGGTTGTCTTGTCCACAGGCAGCAGCTTGTACACTAGTTGGAGTCTGTAAACAATTGCAACACACTGCAGTTGTGACACACAGTGGAAGTATTGTGGTAGAGGCCACCTCTTGCACATTACATTCACCATGTGGTGCCTCACCACAAAGAATTGCTATTGCAAGCAACTCCAATACCTTTTCAACTGGCAATGGACAGCATTGGATTTTGCACATTTTCCAGTCTCAAAATTCACATGACACATTGCTTGCACCATAAATGCTCCTGAGCACTTATATATTCTTCTTGTGATGGTAGGAACATAATGCAGCAAATGAAGTGTGTCATTTTGACAGTACCATCTAACTCGAGTAATGCACTGTACCACTCAAGATCTAATGAAGTAATAGACTGAACCTCATGATGATTTTTGGATGAATTAGTGGCAGATGGTTCTTGCAACAACTGCGTTAATCTGGGCTTGCTGGCTGCTCCCACATACAAGTTACACTAAACTGTTCAGGGTGGACACACAAATCCATTGATACCATATACAGAACCAAAATCACTTTCAAGTGACACTTAATTACCTTCTATACTAATGACAGTAAAGGAGTCATTTCCCAATTTTTTCCGATACATACATATTTGGTCAAATATATGCCTCACATAGAGAAAGGCAAAAATAAAAATTATATGAAGCAGCATGGTCAAAATTAGCAGTAGAAAAGCTTTTCATCTAGATAAGGGTTTTCTCCCACCAAAGGAAACCATTCTTAGTTTTCCTGATTCCACTTCAATTAGAGCATTGGCCTTTCAGCTTTCCACTGCACAAAGAGCCTGCATACTTAAAAATCCAATTTTCTCTGAACACAAGTTTTGATTTTAACATTAGTAGGCACTGCAAGTTTCTGAGAGACCACAGATTAGGTGAAGGGATGCACACCTGATCAAAAGTAGGAAAGCCATGATTGTGATGGCCTGGATAACCCCCACCCAGGTCCAGCAGCCTGAATTGGAAACCCATGTGTGCAGCCATTGTGAACACCTCCTTGGCAGAGGAAATGGCATTGGAGTATGCAGTCACATCAGCACATCCAGATCCCACATGGAAGCTGGAAAGAGATAAAGACTGCTACAGCTTCCATTTACTATTCTGTTCACACACTGCTGCTCCTTCCTTGGAGCTGTTCACATTCCACCTTGTAATGGATGCTAACATAATGAAAATCAGTTGAAACTGTCATGTTGATGACCCAACAAAGGGCATGATAAATAAAAGTGAAACTTATTATCTCAAATCCTGATGAATTTGAAGTTCACAAACCTTCAAGGTCATGGCTTAGTCCAGCTAGAATCAAGACAACTGTGTTAAGAGGCTTGTTTAACTCAAAGTCTATCTTGATCTCTTGAATAAGTCAAATAAGATCTTAATCTTCATGGAGGCAATCTTTATATTTTTAACACAGTCGGATGGTAAACAGAACATGTGGCTTTACACATTAATGCTTTCTCTAACCACATGGAACTGTCCCACACCCACCTGCTTACTCCTAGGACAGGTCCAGGGCTCTACCTTCAATGCTGTTCAAACTTGTGCAATCATTTTATTTCTCCATAATATATCTGTTGGCAGGTGGACATGGCAGTTGGAAACTGTCCACCTGACATTAAGTTATCAGTAACATACCCTACTGTCCATAGCTACAGTCCTAAATGCTCTTCACCTTCATATGTTCCTTATAAATTGAATGTACTTCACATAAAAACCTTACTTTTGCTGTGATATTTGCAAAAGATTATTTCAAACCATTCACGAGCCATGCCCTTAGCTTTATTAGTTCCAGAGTTACAAAAATGCCTCAAGGGGCTGCATGTGGCAAACACTGCTTTTGGTGCAAGAATGGCTGCATACAAGTGCAACCTTGGATGAAATGCATAATTAATTTCTAAAATAAAAAGTCTGAAAAGATCTGAGATATTCACAACAGCTGTGAACCCAGGTTTTCTATTCAGTAATAGACTGGTAAGAATTCTAATGAAGAAAAGTGTTTCGAAAGGCAAGATAGAAGGAAATCACTATGCAAGAGGAGAAGGAGTACTTTAAGAAAAATATAGGATATGTCCTTAGATCCTTTCAAATGTTACTTTAAGTGAGCCTGGCCATTGCATGCTTTTAAAAAACAGAAGACATGTCTCTTTCCCTTGAATAGCATTTGTGCATGCTAAGGGGTCTTCAGCTCTGAACTCTAAGAACAAATCTGGTGGTCAACCTAAGGATAAGGCTTTTAATGTATTAATCAATTGATCTTTCCAAACTACTTGTATTCATTTTTTACAGAATTACTGACCATTCACATTACATGAAAAATTCAGTTTACCCCCATGAAGGTGTAGGAATATAAGTGCCCGGATGCATCTTATGCTCTAAACCAGCGGTTCTCAGACTTCTTTAAATTGTGACCCACTTGCTGATGTACAAAAAATTTTGCGACCCACCAGAATCCTGAATGAGGCATTTTCAAACTAATTATATCAAGAAAATTGATAAGACCTTTTAGGCAGGGTGTGTATTATCCTGAGTGGATGCAGTTATAGTGATTTTTTTCATACTGGGAAAATGCATGTGACCCATAATTTGGGAACCACTGCAATATGGCATGTGAAATTAAGCCATAGTAAGACCCTCTATGGAAATGGACCACTTTCCCATATAATATTTCAGTAACTGTCATCTTTCAAGTGAGGAAAAGCAGTAGATAGTTTTCTATATTTAGAAATTAAAAAACTATTCTCTTCAATGAAAAGTAACCCATGTGCATACACTATTAATCCTTTTGATTTTGCTTCATTTCCTTGTTTCTTCAAAGTATTTTGCAGAAAGATCAGTTTTCCTTCTAGCCCTTCCATTAATTTATCATTTTTTCCCTCTTAATGTAATAAAAACATTTGCATCAAGATGACAGAAGCATGGTATGCAAATAAAGACTGTTCTAATTAGAGATACAATGATATTGAATTTTGGCTGATATCCGATATACCGATAATTCTGATATTGGAAAAGAACCAATACTGATACCGATATCTATATCTACACTTATATTCACACATTCAGGGTAGATTTTGAACAGTGAACTATCTGATAATGCTGCTGTATTTCCAGGAAATATCATGTATTTTCCCCAGAATAGAGCTGCATTATCGGATAGCTTTCTGTTCAACAATCCACCCTCAGGCATTAACCTCTCCACTGTTTAGTTTTATTTGGGACCAGGTCTGATGGGAAAGCTTGAGGTGCACCAGTGATGCACCTCATGCTTTTGCCATTTCTCCAATAGTGAGAATAAATTTTTTCTTCATGCTGAAGCCAGACTCTTCAATGTGGATTTTTTAAATATTACATTTGATTTGCATCAGGCATTTTCTTTCCTATGTTCCATCCTAGAACTTGCAAAAAGGTGGAATAGCAATTACTTCTTTTTTTTTTTCAAAGTAGCACTCAGTTCAGAAAATGTCAAGAATGTCAAAGTTCATACCTCTAATGGACACCCAGACAGACATGACTGACAAATTGTTAACACATCAGATAATTTGCCATGAAGATGAAATGCAAACATAACTGCTTTTCAGGAAAATTTATAAGGCAATCAATCATATTTATTATATTACTGAAGTTTTTATCTACAAAGATATTTATGTAAAACGTTATATTATAAATATTCAAATATAAATTATGACAATAATATTTTTAATAAATTAGGGCTGCACTGATGTATTGACAACCACAGAGATTGGCCTCTGGTGTTGCACCATTGATGTCATGGCTACGGTAAGGTTGGAAGCTGTCAATGTTGAAGCCGAAGGAGGGCAAAATGCAAAAAAAAAAACTGCGTGAGTGTGTGAGCGCAGCTCGGTGCCTGCCCTCCTGTCTTGCTGAAAGCCTTCCCTGCCGCCCCCTCCCAGGAAAAAAATAACGATCAGATTATAGAGGAGTCCTCGATTTACGGCGTTTCGATACAACACAAACTCCATATACGTTGCGTCGTTCCGATATAATGCTACAAATTGAGTATCCTGTATATAATTTAGTCCATGGAAAAATAGGTTTAGTTTTGCATCGTGTTTTCCGGGAATGCATCCACGATGTAAATGGAGGACTTACTGTATATCAACCCGATTGTAGGAACTGGTGGAGGAAAATAGCTGTAAAGACCGTGAAATCATTGCATCTCCTTTTATGCTGTGCATTAGCGAGTGGTGTCATTAAGCGCTCATATCAGCAATAGGTAACCATGACGGACGCTGACAGACAGGCTGGAAAGGTCTAAAAGTGGTCTCTATCATTTTCAGGAGACTCATTGATTAGTATCACAAGGCTTCCAAATAGGTCTACTTGAATTCATATGCAATTTCATGTTACTTTCGCAATCTATTGAGTACAGATCATAATCAGCTCAGGCTCTGGCACCGGTCGATGGGTACGAGTTCAAAATGCGCCATCAGCCTACCGGTCAAGTGTGGCCATCGGCACAGTCCTAGCATGAATATGAAGATGACAAAATTCTTGAAAATCAGTGGTTCCAAATGGAAACAGGGCACAAAAGAGTTGAAATCAGACTATAGTCTAGTGATTTTTGTACCAAGGTTTTGGGATCCATCTAGGCCTGGGTTCTTCGCGCTAACACAAGTGATGTCTATTTTCACAGAAAGTACAGAGTAGGCTATGGTAGTGGTATTAGGCCGAGTTAAGTCGATGACGCTTCTCATCTCTCTCTTGGGTGACTGAGCATATGTCCCATGACAGGGTGGCCTGGGCTCGAACCTAGCTAAGTGTATATTTCCTAGTTCAAGCGCCAGCGTGCTTGGGAAGGGAGTACCCAAGCACGGAGCGCTCCTATCTCTAGATGTGGGACGTTGAGGAACCGTGGCAGTGAAGGTCGAATCCCAGGGGAATTCCAATCCTAAGGAGAAAAATGCTTACATTTTCAGCAGCCTATACTTCCTTTTTTATATGAAAACATGTCATTTAGGCATTTTCAGCATTCTGCACAGTGTTTTCATGCAAGTTGGACATTTTTTCACTTGACTTCGACACTCATGCACAAGGAACATCCCATGAATGTATGCTTGTGTCAAGTGAAATGTTGTCTAATGAGAAAAAGGAGAGAATATTCATCATTCGCTTTACATACTTAGCGTTTGGCATACTTCAGGTATAATTTCAATATCGGTTATCGGCAGGTCATATATTGTTTTAGGCTGATATATCGGAATCACCCAATATTGGCCAATGCTGATAACCGATAAAATATCGTTGCATCTCTAGTTCTAATGACAAGAAAAACCATAATTTACCTGACTCCAATAAGATTGAGTCCAAGTTCTCGAGCAACAGTCAGAAGTTCTGGGACTGCACTAGGGATTGCTCCAAATTTAGAACCAAGGGGGCATTGGGCTTCCTTGGCATCACATCTGATCCTTAGGACAAGCCTGTTAGAAGAAAACATTAAAAGTAGATGTTCTGTGACCTCCCAGTACTGCATTTGCATCAAAAGTTTGTCAAGTTTTCAAGAAAATGTCAAAATGTAATACATATATATGGGCTTCCATGAGAAAGGCATCTTTGCAGATTTTTCCAACAAGAATAAACATTTTTCACACAAACTGCATGTTCTACATACACAGTGACATGATTTCTAGAGTGATAGATGATGGATTCAATTTCTATTACACTACATTAGAGATCCAATTCTAGGATTTGGTTACTGGTAAAAGTTGGATACTTGCCAGTCAGAATGTTTACATGCTCCTCCAATTCCATGAACTCTTTTGAAAGCTATTCTTGGGATTCAACATTGCAATGACAGAAAGCTTATTCTGTTAACTTTGCTAAGGGCACAATCGCATCATATATGCCACCATTTGTCCAAAATGCACCTCAGAATCCATCTGGTTCAGTTTTTCAGTGAGGAACAATTAAAATCTGTCCCAAACAGATTGTTGAAAAGTCTACTTCTCTTCTTGCACACCATGCAAGAAGCATGATTTCTCTGAGCACCTTAAGGGAAAGACTCTTGCCAAATTTTTCATTGAACAAAATCTTGGTACTTACTCTTGGTTACTTCTCAGTTTTTAGGTGATGACTAATAGTCCCACTTACAACTGAGAAATTGATGCCAAGATCATGAGAAATGGCCTGAAATGACTGGACAACTTCAAAATGAAGGGAAACAATTCTCCAGTGTTCTGAATGTGACATGATGTTTACTCTTCAGGCTTGCCAGGAATAGAAATGGGGATAGGGTGATGTTTCTGCCATTATTCCAGGCAGAAATTCTGAACCAGAAGGATTTTAAGGAAGAATTCCAGATAGGAAAAAGAAAACCTCAACACGCCTGTAGCCCCCACTTCTCATGAAACTGGGAGCTCCTGATCTACTACATTAAGCTCTCTGATGCATCAATGGGTGCATTTGCAATACAAGCATGCAAATGTTAAACATCATAAGAATTGCAAATCTGACTTTGGCATTGTTTTTACAGGTGATGTCCCTAAGAGATACTGACATGATCATGAACTTTTTTTGGTTGCTGCTTTTTTGAGACCAAAAAGGAAGAATCAAAGAAATCTAAAGAATATATCTTCTTGCTAGAACTACAGTAAGGTAGCATAGTTATCCAGGTACTAGACATGTTATCTTGTTATAGATGCAAATTTATCCTTGAAAACTGCTGTCAAACAAATTAAACCAGGATCCTTGTAGTTCAAGGGGGTTGACTGCCAAGTTGCATTGATTCATGATGCCATCCAGGATATAAATCTCCAAGTGACTAGCATCATGAATGCATCCAATCATGGAAACCAAGAAACATGACCTTTAAATAGGAGAGCAAAATTCACAACACTTACTCAGCTGATGGAAAGTTCTGTTTGATCTTGTAGAGCTCTGTTGCATTGTCAAAGGTCATGCAGGTCACCCCCTGAGAGGCAGCATATCTGATGTATGAATTGGTCTTGCATGGGTTGGCATATATGATCCGGTCACTAGAAACTCCCAATGATTTCACTTTCTGAATCTCTGCCTGTTGAAGTAATAGAAAAAATAATCACATTCATAAACCTCTCAAGTGGGTATTATATATATATCTGTCATGGCAAAATGCTCCCCCCCCCAGATATACATGTGTCAAAAATTTCTCAAGTTTGGGTTAAATATAAACTTAAGAAAAGTAGTAAATTTATATACAAATGCATTACTTACAGCTCTTATGAAAAAAGTCCCCACTATGGGGTGAAATTCTACCACAGAAATTACCCACTTAAGGTTGAAGATAAAGAATTGACTGCAGGAGCGTGCAGCAGTGTATGTTATCTGTTTCTATGGGCACAAAGGAGCTACATTCTCTTGAACCCTGAGCATAATATTTGAAGAAAAAAAGTAATGCCTGCATAACTTTGACAGGTAATCAGCTTTCTTCATTTGTCTAGATTCATTTGGCACTCAGTTTTTCCACTTGAATAAATATAAAATAAATGAATTGAATAAATACTGAATACATTAAAATCCAAATGCCCAGAAATCTGGACAAGGGATGCAAGAGGATATAGCCCCAAAGCTGATTACAATTCATTGAGTGTGTGCAACTTTTGGTCAGATGAGGGCCCATATGGAATTCATAATCCATCAGTACTATACAGAGATGAGAATTTATTAAATTAATTCCCAGCAAACTGTTGTCATATCACATTTCTGCATGTCAGAGTACCAGGAATCAACAAAGTCATGCCAACTATTTTCCAATACAAGAACCATTCCTAGTCATGAGACATGTGAAGGTTAGAGACCCAAATAAATTAAGAAACATATATGAGAAACTAAAACCATTATGAGCTTGGTCATAGATTCAGTTATATGACCCCAGAGATAAAAGACAATTTTCAGGGTTGCCTTCCTAACCCATGGCTTTAAACATGAGTTGAGAGCACTTCTTTGTCAGGATTTTTGCTTAGCACCAAGTTGTTGACAAATGATCACACATTTCCCAAGATCATTTCCATTTAAGCTACCAAAGAAACATACATAGTTGACATTCTGTTGGATTACTTATCTTTGTATCCTGCTATATCTATGGTCATCTTTCAGATTAGTTTTTTCCCTCTTGAAGTGGTGAATCAGAGAATCATCATGGCTCTAGAAAGGGCATCCTTCCTATATGTAACATTCAAGTGGGTAAGACTTTAGCTCTCCTTTAAGCCCACCATGAAGTAGAGGAAGATTCTCAAACAGAGTTCAAATTCATAGCCGGGGTAGTCAACCTTGAAGACTCTCTAGTCCTTTATGGCAAATGATATCTTACTTTCTGTCAAGCACGTCTCTCTCATCTCCCAAGTAGTAGTTTTTAAAGAGGACTGACCAGGTCATGAAACTTTCTGAATCACTCCTATACCTACCTATTCACCTCGCTAGGTTTTTACAGAATAGCAGTGGACCATGGATTCCTTGGGAACAGCCATCTTTGCTGATGTGGCAAGCTCTATATTTTGATTGGACTGGAGTCCAATGGTTATGATCCCATCTATTGTTGCATTATGATACTAAGCCTAATTCCATATCTACTTATACTATACTGCTAGAAACTGCATGCCCCTAGATTTTTCTCACCTTGGAGGCACAGTCAAATCCCACTCCCAGCGCTGCCAGAATCTCCAGCATGGCCTGAGTATCATTGCACTTGACAGCTTTAACAAAAACAAATCATGAAGTTTACATTAACACAGCATATCTCTCATATGAGAAATCTGCAACAACTCAGACAACAGAGTATCACTGGATGACAATGGATTTCCCACCAGGCTCAAATTACACATGTATTAAGAAAATGTACACCCAATCTTGCAAATAAATGAGAAGCATTAAAAGCCTTAAAGTCTGTAATGACAATCCCAGCCATTTCATAGGTGGCTACTGTGTTGCACAAATGCCTCAAGTAACTGTCATGTGACAGGAAGCAAATGCATAATGGAAGACTAAATTCTCACATGAATCAACATATAACCTTAACACAGCCTTCTTGATATATGGACCTTTATCTCTCAATGCCTGATTCTAGTAAAACCCAAACAATTCCTGTAAATTACAGACTCAGTCATAATGAGAACCTTGGTAATAGCAAAGTCAATTCCTGTTCCACAAACAAAACTGACATTGTGAAGTATTTAATTTATCATACTCTCCAATAACTGCAACTTCCACCATTGGGAACATTGACTACTGGACTGGCAACTTCTAACATTCTCTTTTCTGGGATATGCATTCCTGGGAATTATTGCATGTAAACATGAGGGTAGGGCTAGGAGTATTGAAGGGAAAAAAATCCCAAATCAAAAAAAGATGGCTTAAATCTTTAGGCACTTAATTTCCCGTTACCAAATGCAAGAAATAGGCATAACCAATTTCTTGCATTTTTCTTAGTTTATTTTGATGTTTAAATAGCCTTTCAGGACTAACACTGAAGAATCAAGGAGTTTATAGGCTTCTGGGTCATTACACCCAGACTCAAAAAAGATTACAGCTGAGGAATGCTATATGCTTTTCCTTAAGAAATTTTTCCTGCACGAAAATTAATTGCAATCATTTCTTTCAACTAGTCCATAGGGAATCAGTAATTCTACATGTACAAAAGCATTAATCACTGCACAAAAGAAATTGAAATCTCACCATAGAATGGCTGAACACGTGGCAACTTGTCACACCAGTTCTTGTGTTTCTTCACCAGATCATCGATATCGACAACATAAAAGGCATCTTCCTGTCCCTGTAGATGGTAAGCATCAGCATACTATAAGCATACAACATAACGACCATAAAGCTGTATATTCCATTCCTAATTTATTCCTTGGCACCATCCTTTCAACACTAGGTCTCTCCATTTCAGCTTTGTCTGCTAGCTAACAACTAATTGCCTGTGCAATATTTTTGCAAACAATGCAGCAGGCTTGTATAAACTGAGGTAAACTGAAGTTGAATTCTTATTGCGACAATATGATCATGGCCATGTCAGTTCTACCCAAGGAAATCCAATTGAAAATGAAACAAACCCAAATTAACAGATGTATGCATTCAGAGAAGATGACGGAAGAGTGACAAAGAACTGTCTCATCACAGATTTGGTTTGAAGACTGTAAAGAGGCAGTGATTGAGAACATAGAAGTCTGGACCATGGACAGGCAGTTGAAGCAGAGTAATCTGCCTAATGGAAATTGATTAAGAGATAAGAGAAATATTAACAAATTATAATTTGACAACTAATTTACTACCATGGCTACCATTGTGTAAAAATTATGTGGGGTAATCTTCTGCTTCAAAACAAGTGCATAATGGATATTTAGAGGTAAAAATATGAAAAAAATATTTAAACTTGTTTCAGTCCCCCATGCCCAACTAGACATGAGGTGAGTGAAAAGGTCAGGTAGGCCTGATTAATTCACATTGAAAATGTCATCATCATATCATGAAACATTTGAGAATCACTTCCTGATCTGGCCAAGAACCCCATTCAGTCAGCATCAGAAAATAAAGAATTACTTGGCATGTTTTACAAGCTTGAGTTAAACATCAAATGGGATTACCAGGATCACTCAAGTGGTCTCACATGTCAAAGCATGTACGAGGTGCACTCTAAAAGTTTCCAGTCCGAGCAGGAAGTTGACCAGTTAGCACAACTTCATTTTTTTCCATGATTCTCCATTCAATTTCAAGAAGAAAACTAGCATGTCTGGTCACCCAGCTTGTATTTTCCTTTTTTCATAATTTTTAAAATGAGGTCACTCTCATGTTTTTGGAACAATGAAGTGCAGTGATTAAATTCTTGCATTTGAAGAACTTAACCACAAAGGAAATCCATGTTGAGAAAGCTACTTTTTTTTAGGGGGCAATGCTATTTCCTAAAGCATGGTGAAAATTTGGGCTGCTGCATTCAAACATGGTAGGCAGAGCACAGATGATGAGTCACAGTCAGGTAGACCAACAACTTCAATCTCTGATGAGAATCCTGATCGTGTGGAGACTATGGTGTATTCAGAATGGCAAATGACCATTAGGCACATTACTATGGCCCTGCAGATTAGTGCTGGTAGTCTAGAATCTATATCGAAGAACAACATCTGGATAAAGAAAGTGTAGGCAAGATGGGTGCCCAAGAACCGATGCAGCATCTCCAGCAGGTTTCGATGCAGCTTCTTTAGCACCAGGCAGATCCAGCCGACTTTCTCTTCAGGGTGGTAACCCAAGGTAAAGCACATGTTAACCACCTTGATCCAAAAACTAAAAATCAAAGTCTTCAGTGGAAAAACCCATATTCACCAGCCCATTTAAAATTCAAGGTCATCATCTCTGCAGGCAATGACATGACCTATGTCTTTTAGGATGCAAAGGAATTCTGCTAAGTGACTACTTGGAACATGGAACGACCATCACGGGTGACTATTATGCCAACCTGCTTTGAAAGTTAAGAGTAGCAATCAAGAAGCACTGAGGGAAACTTTGCTGGGGTGTGTTAGTTATCCAGGAGAACTCATCAGCTCATGCCTCTTGGGTTGCAGGCAGTGGTCTCCAGCAATGTGGCTTTGAATTGCTTCCCCACCCTCCATATTCACTTGATCTAGCTCTCTCTGAGTTTTACCTTTTCCCTCTTTTGAAAGAAAATTTGCTTGGAAAGAAATTCAGTAGTTGATTATGACGTCATGATGACCCTTGACAGTTGGTTTGAAGACCAATAGGAATAATTTTTTTTTTCGTGGACTCAAAATGCTGGAATTGTACTGGCAAAAATGCATTATTTTTCCAGGAGATTATGTTGAAAAATGAAATAACATTCGTGCTCTTCAGACTTTGTCTTCTCCCTTAGGGCCGGAAACTTTTTGAATGCCTCTCAGAGTGAATAAATGTGGTTGATACAGACAGGGATGCATCAAAAACATTTTCCAGAAAACAAAACATGTCCCCAGGTATCAAGAAAATACATCCCTCTTCCCCAGTATGCACCACAGATAGCCAAGATATGAGTGAAATAAACACTTAAGATCTGGTGCTTAAAAGGGATTGAAAGTTGCTAGTGCAAGATCAGGCCTTTGACCACCAAGGCTGAGTATACTCATTTTCAAACTTTGATCCCCAGGGCACCAGGTCTGAAAAAAGTCAACTGTCAAAGGGTTAATGCTCCTCTGCTTTGTGCCTACAAGATTGGCTTGGTAGTTAGTGGTAAGAATAACCAGCACACAACAGCAGCAGGCAAGGTTCCTGGTCCCTAAAGAAGCTGTGTATTTGTTGCAGAAGCAAAAGGACTATAAAAACACAAGCAAGACCAGAATACATGACTATATGTGAATTTTGAAATGGGTTACAATGAATTGCACGCGTGATATACCTGCCACAAATTTCATAAAGCCAATAGTTTCCTGGAATAGTGCACATACCTGGATATGGATGATTTCCTCAAGGATCTTCTTGATATTGAAGTCTTCATTGAATAATTGAATCTTGAAGTCACGAAGCAACATATTTATGTGGAAAAATATTTGATCCCTCTGTCTGTCAGGTTTGATGATAGATGAAAGTGATGAAGGTACCTAGGAAACACAAAAAAGATAGACAAATGGTTATTGATTTTTTTACTCTAAGTTGAACATTCAGTCAAGACAAATGAAGTGAGCTAGTTCACAAATAAAAGTCTAAACTTTTGTTCCTTTGCTCAAAATTATATACCTATTGGAAACCAAGGAATATGAACAAAGCACATTTACATCAGGTAGGCGACAGAGATTTTTTTCCTGATGTATAATTCCAAGTTTTCATTTCCATGGGTCTAAAATAACAAAACTTTAAAATCTGCAGAAATGAGAATAGCATATCTTTCTCATGGAACTTTTATGACAATATAATTAAGGTGCCATTTTTCAGGCCAATAAAACTTCTTACTTTTCAAATGAATCATAACACACATGAAAAAGGTGTTCATGGGTTCCCACAAAACATTACTGGAATTTGCTTATGGTCAGTATTTTCTGAGATAATGGTAACTGCTAATTGCATGACTGGGAATACTCACTGCTACAAGTGCACCATTTTAAATGATAGGAGCAGAGCACACTGTCTGTCCTTGCCTCCATTTTAACCCCATCCTGTGCAACCTCTGTCCCTTCCACCCATAAGATTTTGTAATTTAATCAATTCCATAATCACTTCGAAGCTAGAGACTCAGACTAACGTTTCATCAGCTTTTTTTGGGTTTTCACTAAACCCAAGTGCACAGCACTAACCATAAACACATACCAAGGGAGCCACATTCCTTCTATGTTGGGCCAAAAGAGTGAGAAAATCAACCTATTTTGGAGAATGAAGGGTCAAGTTGGGTTAGAATGAAAATAATCACAGCTGAAGGCCACAACTCTTTCCTAATCCAACATCAACCCATCATCTTCCAGAATAGGTTGACTTTCTCACTCTTTGGCCTTTGACACCGAACTGGTCAGTTATTCACAACTGGATCTCCAGCCTGGAGCTAGAGTTACCATCTCCATTTGCCTTCACTGAATACAGAGCGCAAGCCCTGCAGCAACATGGTGCTCTATGCCTATTCAACTTGATCTAAATCTGCAGCATGTTATTGACGTTAGTACTCCTCCTACAACCATCATTACATAAAATCGGTAGAGATTCACCTAAACACATGACCAAAGCATTATATAAAGCAAAAATTTCTTTGAATATATCAAGTTTCATTGGCCTAGGAAACAGCACCTTATATGACAAGATCAACCATTTCCTTATACCTGCAGTGGACATTGAACAAGTAATAACATTTCCAGGTATTCCTATATTATGTGCACAAGCTTCACCCTCCCTGCAAATGCAAGTATGCTCATAATAAAGGAATACTCATGTTTGGATACAATTTATACTCCAAATATAAAATGTTTCCTTGTAAACAACACCACACCAAACTTATTAGACATAAGTGACCAAACTGATCAATATCCATGCTACACAGCTGGCATGAAGTCATTTCATTTCACCTTTTATCTAAGGCCTCTGAAGAACCCTTGCCCAACCATTAACTGTCTATTGATAGGTTTAGGGAATACCATAGGCTTATGTCTACACTAAAGTTTGAGCTTTGGGTTAGCCTAATAATCTACCATTGTAAGAAGAACACAAGACACTTACTAGCTAAGAGGCCTGTCAAGAACAGAGGGCGTGCTATCAGACCCAGGGCGGTTCTGCGTTGAGTACAAACCCCCAGTTGAGGCTGTACAGGAGAGAAGGTCCCCCAACAAGACGACTCTCACTCCCTTGGGTCAGAGAAGGTCCCTCAGAGAGAATGCCCTGGAAAATGGTCAATCATACCAAACAATCCATCAATTTTACCTTACAAAAATATGGCCAGAAGTTTAGGCTTAGTTACACATAGGTTATTTCACATGTCAGAGGCATGCATTTGAGCAGGCTTAAGCAGAACTTCATTAAACGTCTTCCATGGCATAAGCCTAGACTTAAACCTAGATTTAATTCGACCTGACTTCGTTCATTTCTACCTGGACTACACTTACAAATTAACTTCATGGGCTCCGGCTTCCAACCTTCCTTACAAAAGACGTTCCCAATGCAAGCTCTACAGGCTCAATTCGAAGGAGTACGAAGTCGTTCTGAAAGGTATGGTTCTAAAAAATTGCGAGGCCATTCCGAATGCAATCTGGGGTCTAAACTTAAGCCTAACGTTAGCCTTATTCAGTATCGGCTATGGGGAAAGTAACTTGGAAACTCACCCTTACAGACACTTCCCGCCCGCCTTGTTTGATTTTTGAAGGAATTTTGGAACTTGAAGAATCCCAACAATAAAAAAGAAGGTATTAGCTTTTAACGACAACGCTAGACTTCTGTTAAAAACGCCTCAGCAACGCATTCCCAGTACTGACTGATATGTGCACTGCGCAGGCTTGTAACCTAGATTTTCGTCGCTGCTGGAAGCGCATGTGCCGTGCCCGCAGCTGCATTGCGTAGTCCGTCTGTCGTAGTGGCATCCAATTGGCTGATTTCGCAGGCCTTGGCCTACCTCATATCGATCTGAAGACTCGTGGGCGTCATACGTGCTTCCTAGAACTAGTTCTGGGTATGTCTCGACTTCGCACAAAATGATCCTCCGCAAGCAAGTATACTTGATTGTATACGAACTGAAATCAAACACGATATACCGTCACGAGATATTGCCGTATTTCGATTAGGGTGTCATGGCTCCAAACTGAAAATATCCGGGGAATCGGATATCCAAGAGAAAAAACTCGAAAACAGACCATCCAGGAAAGTATTGACAATTTCGCCGGGAATGGCTTAGTGCATTTTGGCATGTATGTTCGGTGGGCCTGTATACCAGTGTGGATGCCTACTTCATTTTCCAAGTACACTCAAAAGACTTCCCCTACTTTTACAGGTTAATTGCCGGCTTGGTATGAGACTCCCGGCATATTCCGCTGTTTCGGCGCTTGCTGAATCTTTTCCCTCAATAGCCGAGGAAAAAGTAAAAAATGAGATCCAACTCTAGTTTGTGCGTCTAGCGGTTCCAAAACTTGTGAACGACGGCGGCATTTAGACGTCCTCATTGCACGAATGCTAGGGTTGTCACCTGTTCATAATTAGTATGGAGAGTACATATTTCAGATGCAATGTCCATACTGCAAACTGGTCCTAATATGGACACTATTTTGTCAATATTTTAAACATGTTACGATTTTTTTTTACTTAATAAAGCTTAATAACAGCTAATATCGTTATTTTCCGTGAGTCAAAAGCAGTAGGCCACACTCAGTGTCGATAGGCGCCTTGGCTGTGGGTATATTTGAAATACAATATTTCAAATATTTGTCCGTATTTTGTTAAATTCAAAGGTGGCAACCCTAATGATTACAAAAACTTAATGGTGCTTAGAGATGTGCTGCTCACCATAGGATTCATAGTTCCAGGAAAGAAATATTCAAATTATTCCGCGAATAAATGGATATCAGTTCGTGCGGAGCTGGCTGCATTAACAGAAAGCCAGAGAGCGGGAAAAAAAAAACTTTGTCTCGTCCCCTTATCGATGAATGCTGACAAGCACGTTCTGGGCTGCATAAAAATTCCTCCCTTTCCTCAGAACTGCCAAGTGGAAACGATTATTCACATCAGTGGGGTTAACGCGATGGTATCCTTTCCGAGTAGAAGTTATTCCACGCTGAGATGAGATAGGGCTTGAGGAGAGTAACTGAAAGAGTTGCAATGAAATCACGAGGGTCTCTCTTTATGGGATCCTTAGTAAGTCTGAAGAGACGGAGGATACTTTCCTGGAAGACAGCCTCGTCAGTGATCCAGGACGAAGACCTCCAGCGAAGATGGATGGATTTGACCACGAAGTCGTCCGGTATAGGAGTCGTGGTAAGCACGTGCAAAAAGGAACATTTACTTTTCCCAAAGCATTACATCATACTCTCTAAGAGAGGAAAGAAGAGGTGAAAAGAACTGATGAATGATCGATTCAGTGTTGTGAACCTCACGCTTGGCATCATGAAAAAGTCGACATCGAAGGAAAGTTGTATTGGAAATTCTCTTTTTATTTACCAGAGCCATGATAGTGATCACAAAATTACATAGGCGACAGTACGAGATGATAAAAAAAAGGGCACTGATGGCAACGTTTCTGGCATCCAAGTGGGCTCGCCATTGCTTGCGTCAAGTCTAGCAAGGAGCATGTTTCTCTTTGATTAGAATACCAAATGGTAAAGGTCATCGGCCATCGGAGAAGAAAGAGAAGGGCCATGGGCATGGAAAAACTTTCTTCCACAGATCATATGATGGAACCCGTGATTCCTAGTGACGTAGCTTTGCAAATCACCTATTTCTTGCAAAGTTGTATTTATTTCATGTTTTCATGGGAATCAGTATACATAGATCATGGGATTCTCAGAATACCTCCACTCTGACGCAGTTTTTGGTCTCATATTGCCCCAGAGGGAAAGGGCGAGAGTTGCGTTGTGGGGTCAGGCAATATCCCTTATCAACAGTAGTAAGAAGCAGCAGTAGTAGAAACTCGCGCGTTATTCTTCCGTTGTATGCGGCACTGGTAAGACCCCAGTTGGAATAATGCATCCAATTTTGGAGGCCTACAAATAAGGGTGAATTGTTGGCGCTCGCGGGGGTACGGAAGAGGGGCACAAGAATGATAAAGGAGGTTAGGGGACTTCCGTACGAGAAGAGTTTAGAAATGCTGGGACTGTACTCGCTCGAGAGAAGTTTAAGGAGGGGCGATCTCATCCAAGCTTTCAAGATAATTAAAGGAATAGATAATGTCGAGTGTGGTAGGTTCTTCCAGTTCGATTGCAGCGAGAGAACGAGAGGTAATCAACTCAAGTTGCGTAAACCGCAGGTGCGGCTCAGGTTGAGGCAGGACTTCTTTACTTGCAGAGTGGTGAAAGCGTGGAATGCGTAAGACGATGGCGTAGTGGCTGCCCCTTCCGTGCCTATTTTAAAGAAAAACTGGATGCTTTTATGGACAAGCGAAAAGGGGGGTAGTATTGATTTAAGGGACTAGGCAGCAAGCAACTACTGTAGGATATGCTTTAAAAAAAAAAAGCAAAAAAAAAAATCACAAGAAATACCAAAATATTTAGCTTTAAGAGGAGTAGGTCTGCCATAAAATCAAGGAACGCTCGACCTCAACACGTGGTATCCAAATGGGTGTTATCGCCTCTTGATGCCACTAAATCACCTTGAACCTTGAACCTTGAAGTAGTAGATCGGCGATCTGCCATTGCTGATAAGAAAGTAAGGCGATCTGCCTTATCAGAGTAACAGGCGTGGGGTGTTCAGAAGGAAGCACACCTAAGATGAGCGAAAGTTAATTTTTGAGTTGGCTCGCAAGTTCCATTCATGTCACAGCTTTTCCAACTCTTCCTCGAAATTGGGCGAAGTACCATTCTCTGGGTCCAGAAGTTTTGTTGCTGCGTTACCGAGAATTGGCCGAGTTCATACTTGTGCTGTACAGCATGCTGGATGCTGCAACTGCATACTGTCCAGTGCAACATGCCAGTGTTGGATTGGATTTTGCCGCTGCTGTACATCATGTACAGCACGAGTATGAATTCAGCCTTAAAGTTACTCAGATCTGAAGCTCAAGAAGAGGTGTTCCAAGTTTGGCATTGAGCAAACCTCCAAATTGCATATGCGACGAAGTGCAATTTTTTTTTTTTTAGTAGTGGGCACGACACATCAGAAATGGCCGTGAGATCATCTCTGAAGACTCTTTAACACCAGAAGTACCGAGGGTATGTATGTACCTAGAAGTACCGGAGCGGTCATTTTGACCGCTTTATTAAAAATCGTATAAAATCAGTATTCTTTAACATTAAATTAATATTTTAAGTTGTTCATATACAACAGAACTAAACTTTACGAAAAAATGGTCTGTTCAAAAGTTGTAATGTTTGAATGTTAAAAAGGACTTCTGGCAATGTATATTACCTTGTAGAGTCTAGGTGTTCAACGTAATCAACGTAAGCATGATACTCTGCGCGTATGCACAGCATTTGCCAAACCCTGCCTTCTCCCACACGGCACAGCCGTCATGCGTCTTGTTCCCCTCATCATGATCATAGTAATTTTCATCATTATTTAGGCATTTCTCATTTTCATTTCTAGATTCAGCTTCAGATAAGTCCTGTAATAGCTGTAAGCACTGCAGTGCAGTATCACTTTATTTTCTTGGTCTATTCATTTCCACTGCACACAATTTCACAGCATATACACAGATACAGATACAGCAGACAATTTGCAGGAAAAATTATTTTCAACTTGTCCAAAAAAGTATCTTACTGAAGCACATACAAGACGTATGCGTAGCTTTTATGTTCAGCTTCAAGAAAAAGCACGTTTCCACAACAAATCAGTCACGTGATTACAAAAGGTCGATCACGTGATCACAGCATGTCGAACGCGTGAAAATGATAGGTCAGACAAAGACTCGCAGTTGCTTAAACAGTTGCTCACAAAGCCAAATACATTGATTTCTATATGGCGGTCACTAAGTCCGCTCCGGCACTTCTGAGTATAACGTGTTATATCTCCGTTGATTTTCCACCCTGGGTCTACTGCTGTATCAGGATGTTGAATACTTAGACATAGGAAAAGTCGAAAATGCACAGGCCCTTAGTTGCCAAACGAGCGGAGTATGTTGCATTTGAAAACAACTAGCGGTTAAAACCGCTAGTTGTTTGGACCGCTCCGGTACTTCTAGTGTTAACTAATTGACTGCCCTGTCAGTCAACGTGGCTGTGTCAATGTGCCTGACTGTAACGAAGCAGTGAAGCAGTCCGACCTACCATGTCCCCTTCTGGCAGCGACAAGGAGCAGGAGAAAGCCATGATCAAGATACATGTGCTCCCAACTGTTCCAATCGACACGGCTGCGTTGCTTGGAAATATCTTTTGTAAGCGTACACGACATCATTGCTGATGATTAGAGTCTAATGCGAGAGAATGTCTGCTGGGTACGAATGTACTCCATTGTGACGCAGCTGCAGCACTAATCGGATACGTGCCTTGATTGTGAAAGAAAACTTCATGGCACATGGCGCATTCGGACTTTTCCTCATACGATTTCCTTCTTCTCCCCCCAGTTGAAATAAATGCATCGAGGCACGGCTTCTTAGTCGGATTCAAAGTCATGTTGGGTTTAGTGTCCTATCTCAGGTCCAAAGCTGGTTTCCATCATTATACTGTACAAGACGTGGCAGAGCCGCAGAGACGTTGTGCATCAGATCTTAGAGTCGATACAAAACAAGAATACCTGAATAAAATTTGCTATAATTCAGCTGCTCCCTGGACAGAACCAGTCTTGTGGCTTACTGAAAACCTCTCATAACGAAATGTCGATCAAAGCACTCCCAAAAGTCGACGCTCACAAAACAATAAAAGGTCGCCAATCCATGTGGTATACTCAGAGTGCCTCCATGTTTAGGAAATGCGCAGATACCAATACAAGATGGGACAGGTCCATCTGCACCTCACTTAAT